GTGTGTGTGTGTGTGTGTGTGTGTGTGTGTGTGTGTGTGTTTTCACTCTGGTATTCTTTGCTTGTGAAACTGAATCAGTCTAGTTTGGCCTGCTCACAGCTGGAATTTGCAGCTGTTTCTCTCTTAAGGATCAGTAATTACTGTTTTTAGAATCTCCTAAAACAACTCTAATGGTTTCAACTCATGTCATCTGTGCGTCAGGTCCACACACACACACACACACACACACACACACACACACACACACACACACACACACACACACACACACACACACACACACACACACACACACACACACACACACACACACACACATCAATGGCCAAACTCCAGCTGTCGCAATTGAAGCCAATGTGGATGTGACAAAAATTGCAGTTCCACCCTCATCCACTAGGGGAAAGCAGCAAGTTCCCATTGACTCCCATGTTAAAAATGCCAAATTCACAGCAGAAATAAACATGTTTAAAGCCTGGAATAAAAACATTTAGGTTTATAATATTAAGTTTACAATGATGACAAATGTGAGAGGGTGGGTTTGGTTTTGTAACTCATCCGCTTAGATGTAATTAAAGCTTGAAATTATGAATAGTTAGGGGCGTGTCCTTTCGATTAAAAGGTAGCAGATGAGCCACCAGCGAGAATTACCAGCTGGTCCTAGTGATGCTCTCAGATGTGTATTATTCAGAAGGGGCAGCTTTGTTAACGAAGGGATCCAGCTGAACATCTCGGCCAAAGGGTGGCATGTAAACAGTAGGGACACAAATAATAACCTGACAGTTCAAAAACCATCTTGAGAAAATGATACTTGTGCACTGACTGTAATCTATGTGATTTTTATATTACTCAAGGAGGAGTAGTGATGGGAATAACGGCGTTTAAAATTACAGCGTTGCTAAAGGGAGGTAATTTTTAATTTGACCTTGACATTCGAGCCAGCGCTTCAGTTCTGTTGATCGATAATTAGCCCCTGGTTTGTATTTCTCTGTCAACACAACGTCCTCCATTTATGCCTTCACATCGATGACCAAGCCCTCTGAAAGTGTATACTTTCTATTGTCAAACGTGATTTGTTATGACCCTACCCAGTTGGGCCGAGACCCTTTTCAGCTCTTCAGAAACCTACGGGCGACAGCGCAGAGGGTTGGTCCATCTTATATGTTTATTCACTGGTATACATTTATTAGTCATAAGATTATGACCACCTTGATGGTCACTGATCATATAAGATTTTGAGAGTTTGTCAGATAATGCTCTGTTAAAAACATGAAATTTAAAAGAATGAGTACACATTTTAAAATTTTTAACTATTATTTATTACACAAAAAACCCCAATAAAAACCAGATTGACAGTTAGAAAACACATGTTAGGACTTGGGTTGCTCATTGGAAAATATCTTCAAACGTCAGACTTGAGATGAAAAAGCATCAAGTTCCAGACAAAGGGTGTCAGACAAAAAGGCATCAGGTGTCGGGGAAAACACAGACAGGCCAAAAGGAATCAGGTATGAGGAAGAAAATCAGGCGAATAGCCTATCTGTGCAGAAAAAAAAAACAATTATGAAACTGCATCAATTACTAGGATACAATCTGTTGGAAGGAAAAAGCTGTCAGGTGAAAAAGCATCAAGTACCAAGAAAAAGCTGTGGACTTAAAGTTCATGATGCACAGAAAATAAACAATGCTGTCACCTGCCATCGGGACGCGAGTTCTGAACTTTGACCATCTTTGATCGGCTCTTGATAAAAAAACACGATACTCAAACAGTTTAAGTCTATATTATATTGTTTTAAATTAATAGCAGAATTGTTGAGATTTATGAAACCATTATTTTTGTGACGATTTAGGGATTTTTCTTTGCACCGGGAACATTATGGAACAGGTCTAGCTCTACAAGTGCTGTTAGTAAGCTTTAAGTTCAGTTCCTGTCTATTCATGCGGCCCTGACGTTTTCCTTCATGTGTTCAGAGCATTTTTGGCTTTAATTTTTACACAAGTCACCAGATTTCCGGCAATGTCAGCACCTGAGGCAGGTGTGCTGCCAGTCACACCTGGAAATATCCACAGAGCGTCCAGATTATCTTCTCACTTTCCTCTCCCTCAAACACAGCTCTGTCTGAGAGACTCTAATTTCTCTCTAATTTCCCTCTGGGATTAATAAAGTATCTTTGAATTGAATATGGCAGCAATCTGTGGCACCCCTCGCTGTGGCACGGCCATTAGCTTTAAATTAAACACATGGAGACACTCCAGGAGAGGCACTAATAAAGAAACAAACTCATGTGGGCTGGTGATGATGATGATTGTCCACACTAGTTAAACATGCGTTTGTGAATAATGGAGGATTCAGGGTTTAGGACTGATCCTAAACAAGAAAACGTTGTCATTTACTCTCCAGTCTGACACAACGTAGCTCACATGTTTACACTGTTGATTTATTTGAATCAGGGTTGCCTAAACGTCACACTTATGGGCTTTCTGAGTGCCTTTAAGCAAACTGGAACACACACAACTTGCAGGAGGAGATGAGGTGAAGTAAACACACTAAAGTGCCAATTATGCCAACAGCATGAGAGCTTTTCTGTCTCTAAACAACAGCTTGGCATTCACACACCTTGTTCCAAATACAGTAAACGTGTGTGTGTGTGTGGATTATGGAAGCGAGCGACAGTAATCCACTCACCACATGGACGTCAAAAGCAATCCAATTTACAGTATGGCACTTCTTAACACTTGGAACTGCAGCCAGGTGTACAGTAAGGGCCAACAGTTACACCCCCCCCCCCCCAGCATATGAATGGTTGTTAGGGACAGATGGGTCGGTGATGCGTTCACACCATGACCCGCATCTCAGCCTGTCTCTGAACAGGAAATACAAACGACCTGTATCGGATACAGAAAACGAAAGGACTCGTGGATGATTTTAGTTATTATTGATTATTATTTTCCCTCCAAGTTTAATCACTTCTGATTTCAATCCCCCCCCCCCCCCCCCCCCCCCCCCCCAAAAAAAAAAGACTTTTAGGACTTCCTTCTAGTGTTCACAGGGGCGCCTGCAGAAAATTTTGATAAGAGTGGCCAGAAGGGGCCAAAGAAATTTTTTGGGGTGGCACACCAAATTGGTCCTTGTGGTAACTCTGGGAGAATTTAGTCTGTGGCGATGTACTGCATTACAGCTTTATTCGTTTTAATTTAAATTAACAGTACATATCCAAAACATTTAACTTAAATTTTACAAACACAAACATTTCAGAAAAATTCATTTCAGTTATTTAAAATGTTATCCCAAATTTAATTTAAAAATGCATTTATTTTTGAGGTTAATTCACCTGTTGCTGTGTTCACAAAAAAAAAAACAGAAAAATAAAATAAAAATAACAATGGAGACTTTTTTTAAATGGTGAGCAGCAGAAACATATGTATTTAAAAAAATTCTGATTATTTCTTTACTCATTAATTGTAATATTTTATTTTGTTTTACAATTATGTCTTGAATAAACAAGATCATTATAGGGGTTGACTGAACATTAATATGATTTGTTAACAGGGACAACAATTTTCTAGGGGTGGCCATGGCCCCCTCTTGGCCACCCCTTGGGGGCACCCTTGGTGTTCACAAGTGTTTAGAACAGCTAAAGCTCCAAACATTTAAAAGAGGTTTAAGAAAAAACAAGTTCATTCATTTACAAATCTGTATTACTTTTGTGTATTGATTTTCACATAGAACGAATGGTAAGGGTCCAACATACATCTTAAAGAACATTCAGACTTTATCTCAAACACGTTCTGCAGAGACTCCACAGCTGGCTGAAACAGTCGTGCTGCCGTACCACAAGTCCGTCCGCTCCACTGACATAGGTGCGGCTCACCTCCTACTGAATCCTGGGCTTCAGGGGCATGCTCAGTTCCAGCTCCCTCCCGGACAACGGGCACCTATTTCAAGTGTTCCACCCAGATATCAAAATTCAAGACTTTTTTGAGGTATTAAAATGCTTTTAAGACCCTGTAGGCACCCTGTTAATCAGTAAGACTTCAAAAACAATACTTCCTCTACTCTGCCAAGCTGTCATTTCTCTGGTCCCTAAGCCACATAAAGACTCCACTGTTAACTGGCTCCTAATCTCCCTGTTAAACGATGATCGTAAAACTCTCACCAGATAACAGAATAAAAACAGTAATAGATTCAATTATCGACGAATGTCAGTCTGGTTTACGGAAAATCATCTCAAATAATCTCAGGCTGATCATGGATATACTAAATTACTAAGAACTTATAAAAGGATAGGGGTACCCTCTTCTTATTGGCAGCTGAATTTCTAAAGGTCCAAATTAAGAACAGCACTGTATAATCAATCAACACTGCAAAAAGAATTATTTCTGTAATGTGCAGTTAGCTCATTAAACAGCTGTTTTATAGACACATATCTCTGAGGTGAGTAGTACTATTGCAACTCACACTCACTTTGAGTGTGCACGACACATTCTCTGGCTTCTTGATTTGACTTGTAAAAATACTTTCAAAGGTGACGGTCTTCCCAGGCTTTATTCTTTCAGGGAACAGCTAACTGGGTTTCATTATTTCTTTTTATGTCACAGTAGCACCCATTGATCCTAGAAAAGTAAGGACAAAGGTATTGGCCTTGATCCGATGATGAACAAATGAACCCAAAATAACTTGTTCACAGATGCCATTATGCTGTAGTATCAGGACCATTCTGTGCACAGGGGACGTGGGGCTGGAAATCCCCCCCACACACACACACACTTACCTCCAAACATGAAATTTTAAACATAAATTAAAAACAAATTAAAAAAATTAACACAGCAGTGTGAGAAGCACGTGAACCAACAGGAAAATTATCCAAGGTGTATTTGTGATTTTTAGTCAAGAAAATATCCTGTTTGCTTGAAGTTGGACTTATAACCAACATGTTTCGAGCGTCTCTCTATTTTCATCGTGTTGCGTGTGGACTTTTGCCACAAAAAGAAGAAAAAAAAAATAATCTCAATGGGAATTTTATTAGATTAGAAATTGGGCAAGAAAGTTTCTGACTTTTCCTAAAGAGATACAAATGTCCTAGCCATGGTCCAAAAATGTCAAAAACACCATCAGCTGCTTTCAATAACTGCGCCTCCAGACCTCGATCATGTTGGCTGCTTCCAACTTGTGGAGGCTGATCCAATAAATCTGAACATCAGTGGCATTTGTCATCAGGACAACGGACCTCTGTGTGTTTGAATGCGACCGCATCCATTACAATCGGTCAAACCGGAGGAGTATGATTCTAATCAACCTCTGCAACACATTGTCACTCAGTTTATGCATTAAACAGATGCGGAAAGGAGCCATTTTGCACACTTCATCACCCATGTGTTGTCATTCTCTGGAGAGAAACACCAGCTGCCAATGCCAGAAGTCACTGAAACACTCCTTTATTCCACCAGCACCAGGTCAGCGAAAAAATAAACAAAAACACATGCATTTGTTGTTTTTTAGCTCTAATTCTACATTATAGTTATTTAATAAGTAACTGATTCTATCCATACAAAATATAAAAATATGTGAGTCCTCATTTACAACCCTATTTACACAGACTGTTAATTTAAATGAAATTATTAATTCATTTATCTATGTACATTTTAATAGTATCCTATATCGAACACACCGAATACAGATGTCAGACTATCAAACCGACTATGTTGTACATCTTTTTTTGCAGCATGGAATTAAAAGTCATGACTGAGAGATTGCACATCAGGTTTTCATCAAAACTACATGTAACTGTTACACTCAGGAGACGTAGCGAAACTTCAAAATGAACAATCATGCTAACGTTTTTGCCGTTTCATGACTAATCAACTCAGATTCATGAAAGACTTCAAACACTCAATACTGAATTGTGTATATCTGTTCCTGATGGAGGGTGTTAGTGTACACAAGCTGAAGGAAATTCATTGTAGAGACAGTCCAGATGTTAAGTGATAATACAGTTCTTGCTTTTTCTACGTTTGCGGGTGTGCAACTGCCCGTTACTGTTGGGTCCTCCATTCCCCGTGTTGTTGTTGTACTTATGGACCAGCTCCTGGCTGCTGAGGTAGCGCAGCTGGACAGGTCTGGGGATGGGTTCACCCAGGAAGTAGCCCTCATCTTCAGATTCGGAGGATGACGAGCACGTGGAGCACCAGTCGTCATCATAATAATCATCCCAGGAGTACTGGTTCAAACCAGTGCGCCTGGCAGGTGCTGGGTTTTGCAGACACAGGTCTGAAGTGGTCCTGGGGCACTGTCTGAAGAGCTGGGGCTGGTACCTACCCCCTCCTCTGACTCCAAACTGGTCCCTGGCACTCCTCGGTGGTGGGAAACGGTCGTAATCCTCTTGGACACGCAGCAGCTGCGGCCTCTCTTGAGGTCGAACCCGTCGCTCGGCCACTAAGTTCAGAGCGTTTTCAGACCGAGATCGCCGGGATCGCCGCTGGCGGTGATGGTGGTGCCGGCGCCTTTGAGGTGTGTCTTCAGGACCATCCGTTCGGATGCTTGGTTCCCTGCCAGCCACACCGCTCACTCTGCGCTCACTGATGGGTGGCAGACGTGCAGCATTAGCGCTGCTAACCAAACTGATCCGATCCTCCTCCTGATAGGTGAAGCCAGGGGGTAGATGGGTCATTCCCACACCAATCCCCATACTAGGAGGGTCACAGAACTTCACCTGGTACGGCGCAGACCTGGGGACGTTTACCTCCATGTAGGACTGGTTGGCATTGAGACTGTGAATAGACTCGGAGCTATGAAACTGAACAGAGGAGTTGAGTGTATCCATGTTGCTTTTCTCTGACACATTCACTCCAGAGTCTTTGCTCAGGTCTGGCATGGAGAAACGGGAGAGATTCTCCTGATGCCTTCCTCCACCATCTGCTGAGTTGCCTGAAAGAGAAAAAAAGAAAATTGTTGGTTTAAGCTTAATTTAAACACAACCAGAGAGGTTAACCCAGACCATCAGCAGACCTACCTGTAGCATTGGACAAAGTCAAGGACTCTATGGAACCTTTTGGGGTCTGCTCAAGGGGGGTCAGCTGGTCGGGGAAGTTAAGTGCACTGATAGGGTTCCTGCTTCTTGCTACCTGAGCAGTTGTCGGAGCGGCTCCATCTCGGTCTTTCTGAATGCCGTGCAGACTAATGGAGCGCTTGTCTGAGGAGAAGCCATTGTGGTGCTGAGTGCAATGGGACACCTCGATGACGCTCTTTTGGGTCCTCAGTTTGGGAGGGTAGTGCTCCTCTGGAACAGCTGGCTGAAACCACATCTCATTCAAAGAGTGGCCCTTCATAGCGGAGAGGCGGGGTCGCTTCAAACCGCCGTTCTCTTTGGTCCTGTGATCTTGCTGTTGATTGTTCTGTGCAGAGCAGGTGGAGTTAAAGGAACTCCTGACATTGCATTGGCTAAGCAGCTGCAGAGGGGTGGGACTGGCTATCGGATCAGATGGTGATAAATAACTGTAACCATCACCCATCTGCTCCTGGTTCTGCCAGGAGGGCGGCTCGCGAGTTAAACTGGGCGTTTGGCTGGAGAGACTCAGAAGATCCATTTGTATGGAAAGTGGGTCCACCTCTTCTGAATACCTATCAGACTGCCCCCCACCCACTCCTCCTCCTCCACTCTTTGTAGTTTTGCTGCTGCGTCTGGACTCTCTGGTAGAGCGAGCACTTTGGAAGGCTGAATCAGAAGAATCAGAGCCATTGGGCTCTTCACCCAGACTGCACGAGCGTGAGCAGAAGATTTGACCCTGTTTAGGCAGAAAGGGCCGACCTAGCAGGGATCGTTTGCAGCGGGCACAGCAGAAACAACCCTCGGTGGCGTGCCAGTGCTGTCCATCATACGTCATCTGGCCTTGGTCGATGCCTGCAGAAAGACAAGCACATAAATCCACAGGATTGATCAGAATTTGCAGACAACTGACATCTGACATCGTCTGACCACCAGGACGGCAACGTTTAGAGAAGGTACTCTACATGACAGTACTTCATTACAAACCCCTTAAACCAACTTACCGATATGATCCCCACAGGAGTCGCAGTACTCGGCGTAGAGCGACTCAAAGCAGGAGCAGCAGTAGGGCCGTCCCTCCTTCATGATGTAACGCTGGCCCCCCAGCACCGTCTCACACTCAAAACAGCAGAAGTGCTTCATGTGCCAGTGACGACCCTCTGCCTCTGTGCACTCATCCGCAAGGATGATCTAGGAACGGAGATAAGAAAGCATTGTTTACTGGGTTATTACTCAGTGCTGAATGACCGCACAGAATTAGCTTGCCTCCCTCCTCCTAAAAGCCCCACTTCCCCTCTGCTGCTTGGAACTCATCGTCTTTGTCTCCAACCTGCGGAGGAGGCTAATGCGAGTGGGGACCTGGCGAAATCTAGGTGGTGCATTTGCATTTAATTACTCTGCTGTTAAACCATCGGGGTGCCTCTTAAGTACCACCATGTCCTTGTTCCCGTTGGCACAGTAAGAAGGTAATTCTGTGTTAATGTTTAGGAGATCAGGCGAAAGAAAGCTGACCCCATTAAAGTGGAAAACCAGTAAGTGTCTTGTGACAGCTGGTTGGTGTTTGGAGGCCTACAGAAAGCATGTGTGAGAGTGTGAACGCTGTATAAATAGCTTTACGGACACAGTTCATGTGGATCTATTAATACACTTGCATCTCTGTGCAGGCATGATGTGTCTGCGTGTGTGTACCTCGTCGCAGGCCGTGCAGCGCGGCTTCAGTCGCTCAGCGTGGTGCCGGCCGCAGTAAATCTTCCCGTCCTGGTGGAAGTAGATGAGGTCCACCAGGAGCTCCTTACACGTGCTGCACACAAAGCAGGCAGGGTGCCAACACACAGCGTGACCCGCTCGGGATGCAAACACAGCGATGTCGCCACCATTTATCTGCCCTCCGCACTAAGAAGAAAATGAAAGGAACAGATTCAACCTTTTTATTTGCTTCATTAGTTTTATAAAAGCCAACTTCTTTCTCAGCTTTGTTCATCCTGGAATAAACACGCATCTCAAACACAAGCATGCTTTATTACTAATGATCAAGGAAATAAACGGGTACATAAAGATTTAGGATTTAGCTAAAACATATAACACGACTCCTGGCTTTTATGTCTCTTTTCATTTTAGACATCGTGCTAAAATCTTGGTGTTAACGTCCGTGGCTCTTCAGTTCAAACTTAGTGGTTCCTAAGACCTGATCAAAAGGGTTAATGTTTGAGTTTAAAATGTGTGATAAACTATACTAAAGAATGGGATAGAGAAATCTTTCTGTTTATTGGTATCACATCTCTATGTTGATACTCATCTTCAGATCTTCACTTTTGACCTATGGTATTGTGTCTTACAGCACCACATCTTTGCTGGGCCAACTCCATCCATGCTCTGCTCTTTCCTGGACACTAAACCAACAACATACTTCCCTGTCATGAGTCATGATGGTTTGGTCCATGAATGCTAATTTTCAGTATGACGTAGATCTGACGGACTTTCTCTGACCTGAGCATGTCCCGCCTATTTTCTATCTGTGGGTAACGCAGAAGATAGGGGTAGAAGACTACTTCAACATTCTGCATGCGTGAGAAACTCAGAGTGACCGATCACATGTCAAAAACAACAAGTACAAAATGGTTTCTCAGTGAACTTGCTCTTTAAATAAATGAACATAATATTCTGCATCATCTGTCTAAAAAGGCAGACTACAAAAAAGGCAAATAGTTATTTCTATGTGCAGGTATGCATGCAGAGAAAAGACTGAGGTGAAATAAGATGACCTCCATGCAATAAACCGAAGACTATATTGGACAAATTTATGGCAAGATAAACTAGACAGTGAGAGTGGGGTGGAGGTGTAATAGCAGAGACACGCAGGAAGATTAACGACACAAAGTTCTCCAGAGACAGGAAGCAAGTCAGGTGGCAGAGTAGACTTAGAGAGGCAGTTAGGGTTGGTACAATCAGGGTGACAGCTAACACAAAGTCAGCTGCAGTAAAGAGGTCAAGGAAAGAGGAGGAACTCGCTTTCATACACACTCTGCTACTCCATGTAGTGTACGCGTGTTTCTGTATGTTTCTGCCCTGGAGTTCAACCTGTTCTCCACACAGTAACAAATAGCCAGCGGATGCTGAAGTGTGCAGGTTTGTTGTTACAAGAACGCTCCATTACACTCAGTAGTCCCATAAGGATACTAAAAAGAGTGCATGTAGGCTGTTTATTAGGAATTTCATAGGACACAGGATCCTACTGTGGACTAGCAGGCCTGTTTAACCCAGACTTGGTTCTCGGAGGCATTTGCTAGATTTTAATTTTAAAAAACAAAATGGTATAATTGCTGCAGTCTGACAGCTGGGGAAAGACAAGACTACACATATATACGGCAACATTAAAGGTGAGGCAGGAAAGGTCACAAATCAGACTGATGTTGCATCTTTGTCCCTTCATATGTCAACATGAAGCAGCTGTCGTACATCACGTAAGCCAAAATGCCAGCAGGGTGTTTTCATTGTGTCAGTCTCATGATTCACAGACACATAAACACACTACTGAATGAAAACATGCTTCAAAAGTAAAAAAATAAAAAATTAAAAAATTCAACCACCTGCTCACAGATTGCCCCCATCATCGTCACCGGGAACGGACGGACGTTACCACGACCCAGGTTCTCCCGTTTCCTTTGATTACTGAAGAGCTTCAGTTCTCGCTTCTCCTCATCATCCAGGCTGTTGCAGTAGCGCACCTGTGCACATACAACCCGTCCAATGATTACCAGGCTGTGTGCCATTACATGTGATTATCTAACGAAAGATGAAGAAATAAGACACAAAACACGAGTGGTCCTGCTTAGAATGATGACTAATATTCTGCTAGAATACTAATTAGGAAAACTTCAGAAACACTACTTCAGTAGAAACAACACAAGTTCATTTTTGGATGTTCTATACATTTTTACAGTTTTTAAATGTGGATAAGGAACATTTAAGTCAATACAGTTGGTTTTAAATAGTTTATCCTTCACCGTTTCAAAAACGGATTTAGAGTGTTTTCTAAAAATCCCAAGACTTTTCTCACAAACCGAGTCTGCTCCTCTGACTTCAACGGGCCTTTAAATTGTTCTTTGCCTGGAGAACCACAGGCAGCAAAGCGCTCCCACAGGATGATAGAACCGTGTTTACCACAGGTAGGAGACATCTTCCTTAAGGGCTCAGACGTACGGTAAATTTCCTACACTTTAATTCTCCCTTTAAACTTGGATTAGGTTCTACAAAATGCTTCTGTTCACACAGGTGGATTCTCAGTATGTGCATACTGAACACAAGCCTCAACTCGCTTCTATACTCATAAAACCATCCCACCAGCCATAATCATCTATTACTTTAGTAAATGGCTTTTATTGGGTCAGCCGCGACTGGTTGAGGTTGTAGTGAACAGTGCAGGGAGCCTAAGTCACGCCCATCTACTTCTGGACCATGGGTCCCTGGAAGAAGGAAAAAATGAATGCAAGTCAATGGGGCTAAAAATGCTATTTTCTAATCGTGTTTGTTATGTGCCATGGATTTCACATATGATGAATTTTAAAGATGCATTTTGATTCCAAGAAAATACTTATTTTCGAACGGCAGCAAAAGATACTTTATGGTTTGTTTCAAAATACGGCCAGGACTACAAATGCACACCACCAAATTGACGCCATCAATCCAGACACGGAAGAAAGCAGAGGAAAAATTGCTATAAGTCCAGCGCACTTCATATCCTTCCTTCAGGTGGAAAGAACCACCATAAATCTGGCCATGTGGTAAGTAGCAGCTACGCTAGGGGAGAGGAGATTCTGTGGTGACGTCGTATATGACACGTACCGACTTCTGATTTGTATGGGAATTACACATTTTTACAAGCTGATAAATCTCAAAGTACGTGACGGGCGTGGTCGAAACACCCATCATTAGTTTTCATTTAAATTGAAGGACAACATATGTGAGATCCAGGGCGTGAGGCAAAGCGGATTAGAAAATAGCTCTTTTAGCTCCGTTGACTTGCTTTGCTTTATGTTTTTCCGGAGACCCATGAGCCGACCGGAAAGGGAGAAGACATAGGCTCTATATTGTTTCACACCTCACTTCCTGTCTAGCGCATTTTTGATAATCCACATGCAGAGTCCAGAAAAACTGGACTTCAAGCGGAAACTTTCCGGAGCTCCGGATCCACACCACGCTATATCTGGTGTGAATGCTCTGATTGGACTCAGTGATTTCTGGTTTATTTAAATACCGTACAGAATCGGACCGCATCCGTTCAGCATCCAGTGTGAATGAGGCTTACGTTAGAAAAATGCACAGGAATGTCTTCTGTAACTAGAATCCCAACAAATCCAGTCTCAAAATCCAATATGGCTACCTAGTGACCGCTGAAGTGACTAACAGTTTTTTTGCATTTATTTCATCTTGTATCACATTTAACATATTCTACTTTGCAACTCATGTTACTACAGAGTTTCAACACGTTTAACACAAAGTAACTGATAGTTAAGGGCTCATTTTTCTAACTTAGCCTAACTGGTTTTTTGACTTGCAGCTGAATCATGTTCAAAATTTTGAAGTAAACAAAACACTTCACTTGGAAGATGAAAAAAATTAGCCTCCATTTCCAAAACATCATGCCCTTAATGTTAAACATTGTGATTAAAACAAAGCAAAGTAAGGCTGAGTTTGCAGAAACGCCCCAATCTTCTAAGAGAATTTCAAAACCAGTATGCCAGGATGCATCGTGGCAATGATTTATTAATGTCACAAATCTTAATAAGTAGCCACGAACATCACTCTGTCTCACTTTTGTCCATTAACAAGACAAGCTGCTTTCACCCCCGTCAGACCCCCCCACACCCCCCACCCCCCCACCCCGAACCCTTCTTATCTGTAGAAAAGGTAGGACGGAGGAGGTAGATAAATGATGGTGGGGGAGGGTGTCGGTCTGGACTCACCTCATTGTCGTGGGGCGGGAGCTGATGGAGCAGCTGTTTGATGCGGTACTTCTCTCCTGGGCTGTTTACGTAGGGTACCTTGTCCTCAGGCAGGGAGCTGTAGTAATGATGAACCTGAGGAAGACAACAGGAGGATGAAACACCACAATACAGCCGAAACATTTAGAGCTGCTAACAAACCCAACGGATGTATTGTTTAGAGGGTTATTCTTTTTTTAATAATGATTTCAGTTGTGATTACTATGGAGCAACTATTCAGGTCATGTTGTAGAAGACAAATGGACTTCTTGAGAAATAATTGTATAATCAAGGGTTAGTTTATATTTTGGTATAAACTGTGCAATGATATTGCATCAAATTCTATAAATGACACACACAAACACACACACACACACACACACACACACACACACACACACACACACACACACACACACACACACACACACACGCACACACACACGCAAACACACACCCACACACACACTTAAAAACTATTTTGATTTATGGCCCACCAGTGGAGACTTAATGGAACCTCACTTTCTCCATCTCTGCACACATTGACACAGGAATGTATCACTGACCCGTCACACACACGCACGCACGCACGCACGCACGCACGCACGCACACACACACACACACACACACACACACCTACAGCTGTGGTTAAACCCCATGAACACCACTGCATACATGCTTCTGAATGTGTGCTGCAGCAGATTAATGCTAATCTGGACATTTGAGATTACTTCAACATTATTTCCATTCCAAAGGAGGACAATGAGTGTCATCTTCTTTTTATTTATCACGTTTTTTTATTACTCAGTAATTGCAGGCCCGAGGTATAAGAAGGGTCACAGGAGGGGGAGGAGCGAACAGAGAAAGCCACTTGGTTTTAAAAGAAGATTGGAGGACAGAGGTCAGAATGAGCGGCGGAGGAGACTGAAAATGATTAAAGGATGCAGGAAGAGCCAAAAGAGCAAGAAAATATTCAATATTAGGTGAAAGACCACAACACCACAGCAGAACGTATGCTGGTGTCCTTCGTAGAACTATGATCGATACTTGCTGCCTGGGTCGTGTCTGCCTTGATGACCTGCTGCTCTGCTGAATGGATTTACTGACTAGTATCCATCAGCTCTGTCCTTGGCAATAAGAGCAAGTCTGTCACACAAAGACAGATTAACCTGAATACTTCAGACATCCATTAGGGAGTAAAAGCCCAAATTAGGACTACTGCTTTTTAAAACCCGTCTTTAGGTTAAGCCGTCTTAAAAATGAGGAATGGAAATAAATGGCACTAAAATACAGCTAGATCGTACAAAGTAGATCATACATACGTGTTTGCAGTTGGGAAAGTTAACGACTGTTTGTTTTTAATCGTTATTCTTCTCTTTTCATTTCATACTTCCTTCTACAGTTTTAGGGGGTAAACATGCATTGAGACAAGCGTTTTGATAATAAATGGTGAGCTGTAACTTTTACTAGACAAAAATATGAATAATTTTCACATACACAACAATGGGATTTTGGCTAGTAAGAAAAAAAAGGTCCTTTTTAAGCTTTATGGCTCAGGCGGACTTTAGTAGAAGCACCATTCAAAGTTTAAACAGGCAGCATTTTGTGTCTGAATCGGCATTGGAGATATTTTATGGTTTTTATGCAATTAGTTACTTCTAGAGATTAATATGTTCACCTTTGTGTGACGATGTCACTCATATCTAAGTTGTTTAAGCCTTTCTCCCACAAGTTAGTTTTTGTTTTTAGTACAGTTACAATTTATTTATTCAAATGAAGGCTTCTTTGTGACCACTGTGACCAAGAACTACAGGACATAGTTTTCTCTTCCAGCTCATATTAGAGTACAGGAAAGTTACAAACTACTGTCACACATTAAAGAAGAAGGTTGTTGTGTCCTGAAATTAGAGGTTCAATGGTAATGATATTCCTCCTGCTTTGCTTTGCTACTACTGGTGCTGACGGGGACTAGCAGAGCGACTCAGGGCAGATGTCATCATAGGGGTTAAAAGATGAGATCTCAGGCCAGTTTGTGAAAGACTGACTGGAGTCACGCACTAATAAATCCAAAACACGCCTCCAAAAGCAGCAGCAGGGTTAGGATCTGGAGGTGAAAGGCTCACTGCCCCCTGAGGAGAAAACTCAAAGAGACTCATCATAGAGGAAGAACCAGAAAACGCAGCTTGTGATAATAACTGTAATCAAAAACTGTAAACTAAAGACAGGGCAGAATTTTAGACTGTACTGAAGGAAGTGTTTTTTTTTAAACACTAATATTAGGACTCTGAAACGGGTGACAAGAAGAGATTGCTTCTCACAGCTGGTTTCTATTGCTGGTAGGAGGCAAACACAACTAGACACCAGCTCTGACATTCCTGGTGAAGCCTATTTGTAGTGAACATGAATTTTACTCTTGTTACTACAGTGAAATACAAAGAGAAAGATTGCGTTATCGCAAGAAAGTTACTTTGATAGTATAAAAGTCCAAATGAATCCTGCTTGTGTGACATTTCAGGAAGAAACAGAATCGGCCACAAATAAGTGATATAAATACTGGCTATAATATTACTATACTATACTACACCACTCTAAATTATACATTATGTACTGTGCTGATCACAGGACTGGGCGATCACAATGTTATTTTTACACATCAATATGAGTTACATCTAAATTTAAAGCAAATCAATGTTTTAGTAAATGCTTATTTTAATTTCTTATTAATATAACGTTGTTGCAGCACTAAAGCAGCAGAAAAACTATATTTTGCAATAAATATGCCAAAAACCACATATGATTTGTTTTTAGAGCCATTTTGTTGGCAGAATCTCATTAATTTTAGCTCCAAGCCAGGTGTTCTGACACAACACCGGGGGAGAAATGGGTCTCAACATGGTTTGTGTGGCATTGCCATAGTGTGATGTCATCAGTGGACACAGATCCCCTGTCCTCTTTTTTGGAAATGAAAATATGGTCACCCTATTATATGTCGCTCAGTGAAACTCACCTTTGAGATACTTAGTTTGCATCTTCCTTCAAAAAAACAAAAACAAAAAAACTTCTAAATGTAAATTAAAGCTTTTAGAATTTGTGGCAAGTCACCAAAACTACATTAATGATGACTGAATACATTTTTGTACAACCTGGGTAGCTTTGCGTCACATCTGTGGTGCTTTGAGCAAACGCGTGAAAACAAACCTGCACACTCTTGACCAACTCGCGGGTCAGTCATCCAGAACGATAAACGGAGTTCCCCTTCATTAATCCTTTTTGCCTGAAGGAGAAACTTCTCTTCCTTCTTAAAACTTCCTTTAGTGTTTGCTGCACTGATGAAGCGCTAACCCAGAGCTGGATGAGTGAACTTATTGTATTCAGGCAAGCGTTAAAACTTTAGGTGTCCAAAGTTTGAACACTCGGCTGGTTGCACTGAAAGAGACTCTTTCCTTTCTGCCTCATGAAATGTGGTCTTTCCAAGTGGATGTTGTTTAAAAACCATCCCACTCATCAAACACATCGACACAGCCTCACTACATATCTAATGGTTGGGTTAGGGTGTAACCATTGGGTATTAATTATGTTGACCCCCTCTAAGGGTCACTTCACATTAAAATAACAACTTGACTGGACTCCAAATACTTTGGACCAAATTGAGATTTTAAGTTTTATGTATTTGTTTTTGCCCTCTAACCCACTTTTAATATTTAGAGCATGCATACTAGAAATCTATGCACAAGTCAACATGCATAACAATGCCAGTAGAAAAATTCCAATAATGCCTCACTTTGCACAAGCATGCAGCAATAAATAAGTCACAAAACAATAGATAGCTACGAGACATTTGCTCATAAAGCTCGAGTGTTTTAAAAAAAAAAGTTTTGACCCGAGGGTGGAACCAGATGGAACAGACAAAATCTCAACAATCCATTCACTGAGGGGTCATAAATTCCTGTAAGAAATGTTTTGGAAATGTACCCATAGCTCTTAAAAAAGTCACAAACATCAGCTTGGAGGGACGAGAAAAGCCCCAGTCGTCCAAGACGGTTGGCTGAGTCGGACGGCGGTAATCATTTCAACATCTGACAGATTTATTGTCCCCCACCTTTCACTGGAATTGTTCTCATTGTTCTGAGGTCTGTTTGGTAACAGGTCAAACGGTCTTCGGTTCTCTTTCAGGCGGCTCTCCGCTGTTTGAAATCTAACCAATCCACGTTAGAGCGACTGGCCCAGGCCCGGCATCTAGTTACAACCTGACCTCTGAGAAGTTTGAAAAAAGGCCATGCCTCATGTTTGACTGAAAATTAAAATCAGATCCTTGTAACTGCTGAGCACAGTCTGCCGATTAGACAGAGGCCCTCGCTACACGATGGTGAAAAAAACAACAAAGTGCAGCTAACAGACCACTGCTAACATTCCTGGCCTTGATGAACTGTAACTTGGCAACATCTAAGAATTTTATTTAGGAAGACAGCGAGGAGGAGAGGGGCTCCTCACACGGCAGCTCAACAACACACCCAAAACATTCGATTCTGATCTTGTTTGCAGATAAAGCTTTTAATTCAGTCTGCATTTCAGCTTCACTGAACAGCAACAGGAAAATGCACCTCTTAAATTTTACTAAGATACAAACAAACATGGCTCAGAAGACAGAAAAATTCTTGATTGTTTTCATAATCTTTCAGATCAATCTAACAAAATGCTGTACAGCTGTGCAGGAATCTCGTGTTACACAGCGGTGACTTTACACCACTACTGAGAGAATAGCAGACTAATAAAGAGCTGTGGCTCCCAGTATGGAAATCTAAAACCCACCATTAAGATCCTAAGCTTCAGCTTTTTGTTTAGATCTGCTCCTGTGCAAAAGGTTGCACAATGACTGTGCACCACCTTTAAAAAAACAACACCTCCCTGCTTGAAACCTGTTTGATCATTTTCTGGTAATAAGGAATGTGAACCCCCCCCCCCAAAAAAAAACGTAGCTAATTTTCTGGGTGTTACCCATCAGCCTCTTACAATGTCACCCAGCCCTTATTATTTCTGAGATCAAATTGCCACTGGACAAAACCTTAATTGAGCTTGGGCGTTATAAGAGTTACCCTGGAGAGGAATAAAAAAATTAAAAAAAAGCTGACATCAGAGGCTAGGTGAAAATGGGGAGCTACTAGCAACACATCATTGATTTGGTTCTAATAAGTGAAACCAGTTTCAAATCAAATTTTAGACCCTCCCATAACTGAACACCTACAGCTCATTTATGGAGAATTGTCCTCTTCATGTAAACGGATGTTTAATTCATTAAGGAGCTTGTCTGAGTGTTTGTGCAGGCCATGAACTGTAGACAGGTTTGCAGGCAGAATGAATTGGGAGATTAATTTGACGGCTGGAGCCACATAATCCCGGTTATCCATTAGCCTGCAGAAGGTGCAGCCAACACAACGGGTGAGCCATTATATGGGGTCGAAGCAAGCAATTACAGAACAGATTCAGCAAAATACACACAAGGAATGTTTATTAGCTTTATGCCATACCATGCTGAAAATGTATTAAATTTTATAAGTGAGAGCTGCTAAACCACAGTGAAGCCATGTAATGCAGCGGCAAGATTTTCAAAAACCAAGAAATACAGTCCAGTAGTCCTAATAAACACTTTATTACACGGTGACAATGCTGCAGATGCAAGTACTTAACAACGCAACGAGCAAACTGTCTTTTCTGGTCTTGCTCTTTGTCGTTAGTGGCTTTCTTTTTGAATCTAAATGAAGTGAAGGAAAATAAACGACCAGCTAAAGAAGGAATGGACAAGATTAACAACAGATAGATGACAGCAATTGGTCAGAAATGTAGAAGTGTGATTCTGAGTGAAAAAAAATACAACTGTAGTTACAGTTCTGATTAAACTAATGAGTTAACAGCTAGTCAAGCTAGCAAAAGGTTGCTGTCATCTTAAACCAACTGTAATCTCAAAAACTGTCATTTGTGCTCCCATTTCCAATTACCTGATGTGCTACACATAGCTGCTACTTGGACTTAAAATGCAACTTTGGAATTCAGTGGGTTATTCACAAGCTTTTACATGGCCTCACTTCAAAAAGTCAGATTAAACCAGAAACCTTCTCAGTGGCCTAGAGGTACAGTATCCACCCTGGAAATGGGAGATCAGGGTTCTAATCCCAGTCAGGTCATACCTAAGACTTTAAAATGGGACCCAATGCCTCCCCGCTTGACAGTCAGCTTTAAGGGGTTGGATTCCCGAGCGCTGCCAGTGCTGCAGCTTGCCGCTCCCCACAGGGATAGGTCAAATGCGGAGATGTAATGTCGCCCGTGTGTGATGACTAATGGGAATTTAAAATTGCTTTAGACAGTGTGTATTTTCCCTGGTGATAGGGGGCAGTACATACCTAAATCATTGCAAGCCAGTAGTATTTTAGTGCTCGAGTAAGACCTTATCAACAGATGGCCATTAGGGTCAAATGAGCAATTATCAAATGAGTACTCCACTAAATAGTTCAACCTTCAGCAGAATGACAAGCACATCAGACTCCCTTTCATCACTGGTGACGAGTGAAGAGGTAAATGTGTAAAACAACAATGTTTATGAATGGTGAACGTTTTGTAACTGCTTCTTAAAACGGCAGTAAATGCGTTTTGTCCTCATGGGCTCCTGTAGAAGGCAACACTGCATATAATATGGCGTCGCCCAGAGACTTTGAGCCACTCCCATGTATTTTAGACCAGATTTCTGTGGTAATATGTTACAATATTTTTCAAAAACTGGGCATCACTTAATTCATTTTCAAAAAGATTTCGATGAATATTTCTATAGATTAACGGCAAAAACTACACATTGTCACTTCAAAATTCATCATAAAGACTAAAATTAGTGCTAAAAAACAGGAAATCCACATCTCTGGTGCTGATTTTGGTGTCTGTCAGAGTTAATACTGTTAATACTATACTAGGTGCTCCAAATCTACCTGTTCAGGTTTAAGTCCCGGTGGTACCCAGGCGTATTCTTCGAGAGAGCAGCCCGAGTCGTCATCTGAGGTCGAGTTCCTCTGGAAGTCATACATCAGCTTGGTGACCGTTTTTTCCATTTCCACAGGCATGACTGTCACTGCATGCTCCTCACGGCGACACTTACAGTGCACACAGATCTTCCTGCCACAGACAAAAAAGAAACAGCCATCAAGTAAATGTGATATACATCCTGACTTGCTTTAGTAGATTCACGACAAGATGGCTAAATAATAGCAAACAAGTGGTTCCGACAAAACCATGTTTCAAAGATTAATGTGTTAAGAGCTCAAGTCATGTAACAATACCCAAACATAAGGTGAAAACAAGTATTTTGTGAAAAACGAAGGATAAAAACAGAAATAAAAACAAAATTGCACACTAGGGAAAGCATTCCACTGGACTCAACTTTCTACTTTTGTTTTAAACGTGTAAGAAACTAAATATCCTTTAGGACAGAATTCCAATAAGTCAATTAGGATTCACAATTTAACCCCCCCCCCCCCCCCAAGTTTACAGAACAACCAGTGAGAACACAGAAAAATCAGTACCAATACAATCACAATGACCCTTCAGTCCTATTGCCCGGACAGAATGTCGTCATAATAATCCACACAGAGATTGATAAAGTGGGGCGACGGTGGCACAGGAGTTAAGTGCTCGCCCCATAATCGGAAGGTTGCAGGTTCGAGCCCCGCTCAGTCTGCCGCTGTCATTGTGTCCTTGGGCAAGACACCTAACCCACGTTGCCTGCTAGTGGTGGTCGGAGGGACCGGTGGCGCCAGTGCTCGGCAGCCTCGCCTCCGTCAGTGCGCCCCAGGGCAGCTGTGGCTACATTGTAGCTCATCCCCATCAGTGTGTGAATGGGTGAATGACTGGTTGTGTTGTAAAGGGCCTTGAGGGGTTCCAGGACTCTGGAAGGTGCTATATCAAATACAGACCATTTAACATAAACAGACAAAAACTGTGTTTCAATTCAAGTTAATTTATCAACAGTACACAAAAGAACACTGCTGCTGTATGTTGGCTTTCCAGATCTATAGACCCAGTTAATATTTTTTATGAAAACCAAACATGACCAAAATAAATAAATAAATAAATAAAACAACTGAATATAAACTGGTAGTGAGGGCAGAACAGTTTCATATACAGGTATGTTAGCTTCACAATGTCAGTATAGCAAAAACAGGAGTAATGCAATCAATTCCGTTATATTCCACGACACATGAATCAGTATGCTGATCTGATGGCCTCTTGTCCTTGAATCGGCCAACCCAGTTGAAGTGGTCTGATAGCTAAAATACACCGTTGGTGTTTTGGTTGATGTTTAATCATTTTGAGGTGACATAACAAGGAGTAGAGTGAGGAAATCTGAGTTTATCACAGCTAATATCATCATTTAGGACTGGACAATAATTCAATAATGAAATATATCGACCAATAGACGTACAACATGATAGAAAAAATGGGTCAAAAACCACTTCAATAAAAAGTTTCCTTTTTTTTTCAATTATAGCCTATTGGGTAGCTTAATACGAGTCAATACTTACTCCCAACCAATCAAAAACACAGTTACACTGACAATATATTTTCTACATTTTTAAAATAATCATCAAAAATTATTGAGATCGATCAATATGAATTTTTTTATCAATATGCTTTTTTTCTACATTGTCCAGCCCTATTGCCATTGCAATATTAAAGAGTAATAATGTAATTTTAATGAATAAGCCTCCCCCTAACAGAGTCTAGTGCCACTCCCATTTCCTGTTCAAAAAATGTGTCACAAGGAGGCATTACCTGGCAGATCGAGAGGGCGGAGCCACACATACACAGGCTCACAGCAACATTGTGACATCATATGGTACCAGCCAACGTTATAGGATACTGCTTAGCCAATAGCTATGGCAGATTTAAATTCAAATGTAATGCAGAGTTTTTATCCGAAGAAGGAGCAACTGACAGTTTTAGTCAGAATATTTAAATGTTAACTGAGATGCACTAAAGTGCTACATTATTTACTCCCGTGTCTACAGCACGATTAGACACTCATTTATATATTCATCAGCATAAAAAGTTGTTTGGGGGTGACTTGCTCTTTAAGTTTATTCTGGTATCTTGTGCTATCTTAAAGCTGTAATAAACAGGAGTGACTCATAAAATGATCAGGTTCTTGAAACACGCCATTAAAACAACAGACAGGGATAATCAAAAATCTTGGTGAAGAGATACAGCACGCATGCAGATTCCTGTGTCCTTGACCGCTCCACACCCTCAAAGTGGAAACTAGGTGGCCAAAGGGTCACACTCTACTAACCCTGTCAAGTGGCTAAATCGGGAAGAGTATTGAATTAGCTTCCAAGATGGATGCCTGTTTGTCTGAGAGTATGGAGGAGCTTAAGGACAGTCTGACAGAATGTTGTCTATGAAAAGCTGAGTATTCGTGTGTGCACACTTGGAGATGCAAAACTGACTGAAAAAGTCCAGATGTTTTCAAAACATTTCTAAAATGTACACTGCAAAAATTAATTCTGAGACAGTTTAGATCACCATGAAGTTTAAATCTGCAGAATGCTAAAAGGTTTCAGTTCAAATGATGGCAGTTAGTGGCGCCTGTGCATTTAGAAACCATATGCATGTTTAAAGAGCTCAGAATGCAAACAATCCAAGTCTCGTCTTGTCCTTTTGTCAAATTAGCTCTTGTTCAAAGGTTGAGCTTTAAGTAATAAAGAATGCAGGGTTCTTTTTTGAGTCAATGATGGATTTCTACAGCAAAACATGACACAACTAGTCTTCTTAATCTTTAAGAAAGCATACAAATACATCTCAAGTGGGACAAATTATCCATAAACCACCAAAGATTGTTTCCCACGTGCCAAAAGGCTGAGCTTGCTCCATATGAGCCCTGGCTGATGCCTGTACCTTCTGCTGTCATTACGGAAGGACTGCAGAATTATGAAAGAAAACAGACACCAGATCTCACTGCTGAGAATACTGATGATAAACAAAGCAGCATAAAGCGATACGGTCATCAAATACGTGTCAAGCAAACCTACTGGAAAGCCCAGAGGAGAAATCTCCTATCTTTGGAGCATTCTGCCATAGCCGGGGGTAAACATCACTTGGCTTATCACGGCCCAGGGCTTTCACTGGTATTAATAATTTAAAATCAATGTGCTGGATGATGCACTTATCCATTTACACCGACAGACAATGGTAATTATGTACTTTCACAAGCAACTCTTAAAGATGTCTGTCCTCCACAGTCCCCACGACCTGTCAGATGATTCTGAGCTCCAGCTTTAATGGAGAGAAGCTCTCGGAGCTCTGTGTCGCTCCAGTTTACCATCTCAGCTGGTTTTGGTAACACAAGCGAAACGTATTGCCTGTGTTTACTTTCATTTTCATTATAGTTTCCTGCAAAAGCTCAGCAGTTACTCCACACGTGATCGTGACACCTCTCTCTGTTGCTCCAAGGCTTAATATGCATTCACAAGTCCATCATTGCAGCAATATTACTACCAAGCGTGGCCACATGAATGCTGCAAAATTCCCACATCGCCATGCTGCCACGCCGCATTCATAAGACGCACACTGGCGGCAGAATCATGCTGATTTGCTGGCATGGTGTGTTTTGTAAAAACGGCTTAAGTTACCGGGGCTTTTCACTGAATGCATAAGCGGTGTGTGAAGTAATGGACACATTTACCACATATGCTCAGCAGCACCTCCTTTACAAACTGGAGCAATTAAGATCTGAATCAGCGGCAAATGCGTTGCATGCAGCTGGTACTGTAAGGTCACGCAATCACTGGAGAACTGCAAGATCACACGTGATTTTGGCAGTTCACGTGATAACAAGAATAAAGACAGCAGCATGTATCAAAATGTTCTGTGGTTTATTTTCTCTTTTTTGTTACCTCGGCCATGAAGGTTTTAACAGATGTCGTTTGTTTATTTTTTTGCTTTTATATTGCTTTTAAATCTGCTATTTTGCAGCCTGCAAATCTTGTTGTTTTTTAAAATGCCTCTTGGCTTACACTGCTCTAAAGTTTGACTTTCTGCCTGGCCTGATCTGAACTGCCGTGCCGCATTCTAGAAGCGTTGCTAGTAAAAACATAGAACCGAAGAGTAAATTTAGTGGAGTGATGCAACACTATGCTTCTGGGACGTGTACAAAACATGCTGCTTCGTGGGAATTTAAAGGTAAAGTCCTGTTAGTCATCATTACACGTTGGTGAAATTACTGCATTTGACCCATCCCTGTGGGGACTGGTGAGCAGTTGCTGCGTTCGAGAACTATTTAGTGGTTTAACCCCCAACCCAACCCTTTAAAGCTGAGTGTCAAGCAGGGAGGCATTGGGTATCATTTTTAAAATCTTTGGTAAGACCTGACGGGGATTTGAACCCTGATCTACCATTCCCAAGGGATTACACTCATACCACTAGGCCACTGAGAAAGACACCCATAGTCTATAATAATGGATATTAGCTGCGTGTTGTGTTTGTGGACGTTGAGTGATGCCTTCACTTCCGGTGGAAAGCCAGGCTTCATGTGAATGAAAGATTTTGACACCCTTTCAAAACATCCCTGTTTAAAGTTTAGCATTGTATTACAACACAGATGAAGAGCATCTTGTGAATACTTCTCTGACCCATACTCTATCCAGATGTGCAACTTTCCTTGAGAGACATTCCGGTCTTCTCCTCGTCACTTCTTTCATAGATGCGGCATACCTTAAGGGCCTGCTGCTCCTTCCTTCCACTTCCAACCTCGTTGATTTACAACCTGCTTTATGGACCTGCCTGGGATTTCCCCTCTCCTGAAACAAAATCCCAGTGCTTCTCTGTGTTGGCTGCATGAATTTAATTTGATCAGATTTAGTGGCTCTGGTAATAACAAGTCAAGTACATCGTTGAAGTCTCATAAATGATGGAGCGACAGAGAATGAAGTAAAGAAGCATGTTTCCTCCTTTATAAGTGACTAGCCCTTTTTATCCCAGGGGTTGTAAATGCTGATATCTCATTGGTCAGTTGTAGGATTTGTTTAAGCAGGGGGGTGGGTGGGGGTATGTATTCGGAGAGCAGGCACTGTAACCATGATGTCAGTGGACAATGATTCACTGTTTCCAGTTAATCATCATCATCATCATCATCATCATCATCATCATTCAGCTCTCCACCACCAGCTCTTTACCCAGGTACTGGGTGGTTTTAATAAGAAACTAAGGTCCAAAAGGCCCCCTGCATGCAAAGAGTTGCCTCCATTAGTCAACACTGCAAGATCTTCAGCAAGAATTACTAATGCAAAACTGACTTTCTGAAAACAAGGATGAAACATAATCAATCTACAAACATTTACAGATGAATTAGATTCTCACAACCAAAATGTAGATGAAGATTCTGTTCCTACTAAAGAAATGGATTAGTAGTCTCCTCCAAACTTTTAAAGATTAAGTTATTTGACGTGAGCTTATCCTGAAGCCAGTTTTATAGAAGTATTTGGAAAAGGCCAGCAGAAAAAGTCTCATTCCTGCTCCAAAAACCGCAGAAACTTTTCCATGGCATCACTGTAGAAGGCCAGATTAAAATCCCATCTTTACAAGGCAGTTCCACACAAAAACAGAGGTTAGATGACAAGAGAGGAGCGCAGAGTAGACCAGCTGGGTGCAGGAGGCAGCCAAGCCTGGTCTTTCTCCTTCTTTCACCCCATTTGTTGTCTTTGGAAGAAACGAAGAGAGAAAGCGAGCTCATTTCACTACTTTTGTGTAGTAACTGCATAGTCTGAATAGTCCTTAAAGTGACAATCTGTAGTTTTTATCCTTTAATCTCTGGAAAAATTCATCAAAATGTTGAAAATGAATAAAATTGTGTCCAGTCGTTGAAAAATATTGGTGGCTTCGTAGCACATAACCATAAGAATTGGGTATGAAGTACACAGGGCGGAGGACTAGTGTCTCTGGGGAATGCCACGTTAGATGTTTCCTTCTGGCCAGTTTGAAGTCCTGAGCCGGTTGATGGCATCACACTAGATGATTGGCTAAATGTACCAATTTATGACGTTACCATGTTGAAAAACATTTAGGTTGTAAGAAACATTAATTTAATGACAAAACTGCTAAAGTCTTTCCAAAACCTAGATGAAAGAACAGAATCAAAAATGAAACGCAATATATTTTGGTCGAGTGGTATGGCCATAGATTGATGACATCATTGGCAGGTGCAGGATCCTGAGCAGAGCCGGGAATTACAGCTCCAGAAAAAATCAGTACTGCATTATCTCATGGAATTAACTTAAGGACCATCAAAGTCTGAAGCTTGATTTATGCTTGACGCATCGGCGAAGTCTCAGTGCGGCCAAATTACATCATTTCAGCAACCATGCCCTTCTGCGTAGCCTCCACACAGCCCAAAGTTTCCGCACCGCGCACCTAGAAAATTTTCTAACCACGTGGACAGTCCTGTGTGGAAAAACATGGCGGACGGGCAAGACCTCGTAGTGATGCAGGTTCATAAGTACAGACATCTTTAAGATTCGGCCCATAAAGATCACTGTGATCACAATATTGTTAACAATTGCTGTCACTGTCGGAAAAGACAGGGACACAGTGAAAAAATTGTTGTAAACAACAGTGATTTCTACCTCTACTATGGTGCATTGTTGGATGCATGCGGTAGAACCCCATGCCGCCCCCTACAGTCTGGGAGAATTTTGGCTCACAGCGGAGACATGCCGCAGAAGATAGTGTTCCATCTGCGCGTCCCATTTCCACGCAAATCGTACATGCGTCAAGCATAAACCAAGATTCAGGAGTCACGCCGAGGTTGCATGCTTTTTACATTTACCATAATGTTTTATTAAACGAGACAGTCACAGCGATACCCTGAAATAAATCTACTGCCCCTTAGTGCTAGGAGACTGCACATAGCCACTTTAAGTTAAATATATGTAGTTTTTGTACCAAAGGGGAGAAAGATGCGAGTGCCATTAGCAGCTAATCAAAGCGAAACAAGGAGGTGTTCTTGACAAGAGTCAGGCTTGACAAAGACATTTCCTTCAGAAGCCAATTAGTAAGAACCTGATGCAGAGATTAGACCTGCATCCACCTGTTAAAACTGATTACAGCTACAGCAAAATCCTGTTTACTTTCCAGATAGGCTCGGGGTCACATTCGTAATGGGTGGCAAAAATACAGCTGTTTGCACGGATCATCCATGCTATCAAAAGTATTTGGTTTGCACTGAATAACGCAATGTTCAAACCAAAATGAAACTCGTTTCCCACACATCACCACTAATGTTTTTCATGGCTGCCCGTTCTTCCACTTGCCGATTCTGACGTTTGACTGACACCAGAGTATAAAAGTAACATGTAACTGCCTACATTTTTGCTTTCTGGGCCAAACCTTAAAGACTTATGATAAAACTTCTCCATGCTTTACATTTAAAAATAAGCCCTGCACGGCTCTTATTAGCTGTAAACCGAACGTGGGACAAAGAACTTTATTAGGACTTGTGGTAAAAGTCAAAGTCCAACATTCAAGTTGGAGCAAAAACACCTAAATTACGACTTGGAAGGGAAGTGGACCAGGGAGCAATTAAACACAAGAAAGGCAGTTTTAAGACCAGTGAGATTCCACTTAAATTTTTATTTAAGTTTAAATAATTTAGTAGATCAAAGACTTCCAAAGTCATAAATAAAGCTTGTCTAGCATTCAGGGTCCTATCAGAGTGGATGGATGGGTTTTTGAGCTGCTCTCAGACCAGCTGCAGGATTCAAAACTACATTTCTAATTAAGTGCTCGTCAGTCCATTCAAGTGCTAATAAAGTACCGCAGTCATCTTTACTGCTAAAATGTATAAAACCATCTGATGCATCTGTAATCCAGCGTGGGATCTTGCTTGTTTTCCCCAAGGCAACAATTTCTATTGTTTTCATAGCTGCCTGCGGAAAACTCCAGGAAACATTTCTAGATTTTAGGGAAAAAGGAACTCTGACAGAGAAAAAGCCTTGGTGATCTGTTAATTTGCCTTGATTTCGATCCATATGGCACTCAGACAGCCCACAGCACACAAGAGCTTGACCAGTGCGCTGCAGGGGGTGGGGTGGGAGATAAAACCAGTGGGAACACGTCCACACACAGAGAAAGCTGCGATTAGTGTGTCAAAACAAACTGTCAGTATAAGAATCTAGAAAAAACTTTTGTTTTTAAAAGTCTGAGTCCGTTTAAAATCCAACTTTCGTTTTTTGTTTTGTTTTGTTTTTTCAGAGGGAACGCGCTGGAGCACCAGCGTGCCATTTAAAGTCCATCAAATAAATATCTGCGTTTGAAAACACAAATAGCAAAGATAAATATTCATTTACCTCCTTACAAACTGAGACGGAGCGAAGCCATGGTTGGCTTGCAGCGGGCGTTGAAACACACGCTCGTCATCGCTCAAGTGTCCAGCGCCACGGCGATGCCACGAAAGCGCAGCAGCTCCTGCTACGCATCTATCCTGTCCACCAAGGGGGAGAAAGCCCTTTGTCAGGTACCTTGTATCAATCTGGAGTTTTGCTGCCACTAAAAGCGCACTAATACGAACTTCCAAGTAGAGAATCCTAGGTGAGAGAAAAAGCTTCCAGAGGAAATGAGATCTTCAGTCCAACTAAGTAAACCAGAGTCCGCTACGCGCTGCCGCAGAGCAAAATCCGAAAAGCCTCCAAGGAAACACGAGTCGGAGGAGTCCCAGCCGCTGCTGAACAAGCCTCTGAGCAGCAGCAGCGTTTAAATCCAAGCACGCGCATCTTGGTGTCAAGACCTCTGTTGTAGCAGATCGTTTCCGGTTTCATTTTCAAAATAAAAGTACACATTTCAATAGAATATTTGTTACACATTTCAAGTCAGGGGTTCATTTTCTGAGTTATACACCCAGATAATCTATAAATGTATGTAGAACAATCTCAACAATTTTAACATAGAAAACTTTTATTTAAAATACTAAATTAGATTCCAGTTTTGGGTAATGCTGGATAAACTGTATCAATTGCTAAAGAAAGATGTAATGGAAAGTTCAGGGATAAAAGTCACCAGGATAAAAGGAACCATGCGTAGTAGAGAATTAATAAACGTTACATCTGATGGTTAAACTGGTTTTAATATAACTTATTTGCTTTTGTTAACTAAAGTAAGACAGTCAGCACTTTTGAAACTTCACGATGCATCAGGATGCCAAGAAATTAAAAGGAGGAAAAGAGTATTTGTACCGCATCCTTCAAGATCACAAGGTGCTTCACAAGCTCGATACAATTTTTAAATGTACAGATACAACATTAAAATGATCAAAAACAAGCAAATAAATGTCTATGTTTGAATAAACATATATATGTAAATGCATGCACGCACGCACGCACGCACGCACACACACACACACACACACACACAGATTGTAATAACTTCTAAATGACATTTTTATTCAATGATTAAGAAACACAAATCCTGAATATAGTTTTGTGTGAAAGCAAGTTGTTCCCCTTCCTGTCTAACTCTGGACACTTACTATTTGGCTTCACACCAGCTCTAATGTCCTGGTGTGATGTCAGCAAGTCACCATTCCAACATTGTTGTAATTAGCAGACTGAATAGCTGGTATTCTGGTGGAATTTGCATGAGAAACAAGGAGCTTCCTTGAATCATCTGACTTGGGTCATGAGGAGAAACAGCCAGTGAAGACAGAGGAGCCGCAGGAAGCTGAGTTGCATGGACGCATGGTGAGGTTAGCCTCTGTAAACACAACAGTGATGTTTAGCACAAGAACTGAACCTTAGCTGGGAAGAAAGCTAAAGACTTACAGACCAATAAAAAATCACTGCAGCTGGGGGGGTGAAGCCAATTTAGAAGGATCGTAAAAAGCCCCTGGCCTATGAGTCCCTTAATAGAGACCATTGGTATGTTGGGTTGCTGTTTTTATCTACTCAGATTTTTTGTTTGGCAAGAACAATTAACAGAAGAGATATAAAACCATATTGTAAAATTCATTGATTTTAAAAAGGCCGTATAATGGAAAATCCATTTTTTGTATTTGTGATATTGTCATTTCCTCATGAAAAAAAAATCCAAACCCATTTTGGCTGCATTCATGCATTTTCCTGTTTCAGCTGCAAATTTTAAGTTTGACTTTCAAAATCTTGTAAAGTCTTAATGACAACTAGTCTCATTATCAGGCCCCGCTCCTCTCCCGGAAGCTAGTCTCTGGTCTGAGTCTCCCCAGGTCAGCACAGGATAGGCTATGTGGCTTAGGCGACTGCTGTCATGTAGCAAACTTTAGTCCAGTGGTTAGAGCGCTAGACTGGACACCATAACCATGGACTACCATTGTCAATACATCAACTGATTCACCAAAAGCCCGGATCGCGCTGTGCGATTTGTCTTTGCCAAATCCCACATGGAGAGCATAATCATGTAAAAAAAAAAAAACGGTGAACGCGGCGGTGATTTGCAAATCTATGGTCGTCCATTCTGCGGCAGTTTTTTGAACCGCCTCATCACCAAAGACAGCCTTCGACAGTCTACAAGCATGCTAGAAAACCTATGACTCCTGTCTGCAACCGACCAATGAAAACACACCTTTGGGACGCTGCAGCAGCAAGACTCCGCCTCTCTGAGCTTCGGTTTCAATCTATGTGTAAAATGCAAATTATAAACTACCAACCAGTTTTTATTTTTGTTAATAGCCCAAGTTAAACCAGAGTTATCCATCCATTTTCTGAACCCGCTTTGTCCACGCAGGGTCGCGGGGGTGGGGGGGTGGGGGTGGGGGGGTCGGGGGGGGGGTAGTGCCTATCTCCAGCGGTCAACGATCAGGTGGGGTACACCCTGGACAGAGAGCCAGTCCATCGCAGGGCAACACAGAGACACACAGGACAAACAATCACACACACACACTCACACCTAAGGACAATTTAGACAGACCAATCAACCTAACAGTCATGTTTTTGGACTGTGGGAGGAAGCCGGAGTACCCGGAGAGAACCCACGCATGCACAGGGAGAACATGCAAACTCCATGCAGAAAGATCCCAGGCTGGGAAGCGAACCCAGGACCTTCTCACTGCAAGGCAACAGCTCTAACCACTGCGTCACTGTGCAGCCTTAAACCAGAGTTATACTGGATGTAAATAAATTACATTTTTAGACCATCAGCTGAGTTGTGAAAACCTTGATTCTGTGATCTGTGAGAGTGAGAGCGAAGATGTGCTCACAAACATGAAAAATAAAACACAAAAACATGAGATACCTTCGCTGCTGGTGGAAAGAATGGTAAGACTGGTTCAATAGTGTTTTGCTGCAGGGGGACAGAGGAAGCTCCGCTCCGTGACAGTGATGAGATGTCACGGAGCTGCGGAGTAAATAGCGAGACAGATATTGGAGCGATCTTTGACAGATTGTTACTTCTCTGTAGTTTAGTGGGTTTGTATGTATAAAGGAAAAGGATGAATGACCGGCAGACAGTTCAGCTGTTTACCTGAAAGACGCAGGGGCGCAGATAGGATTTTCAAACTGGGGGCGACAAAGTTCCAAATGTACCCTCCCCCAAACACACACACACACACACACACACACACACACACACACACACACACACACACACACACACACACACACACACACACACACACACACACACACGTACACGTACACAAACTATTGCAAGCGCCTTAACTAAGCTCAGTCAGTTTGTGTAATTTCATCCAACGGTTTACGTAAAAACTAACTATTATATACCTGTTTGAAGCCATTATGCAGTGGAACGCTGGCAACAAAGCTCTGTCTGATCAACACCATAAATAATAAATGATCCGCACTTGTATAGTGCCTCTCAGAGTAAGGACTCCAAAGTGCTTTACACTACAGTGTATCATTCATCCATTCACACACACATTCACACACTGATGGTGATGAGCTACGATGTAGCCACAGCTGCCCTGGGGCGCACTGACAGAGGTGCCCCACTATTTAATTCAGTCATTTGTTATTCTCCCAATCAATTACTAACCAAAACCTCATGCTTTATGCAAAACATTAAATGATTTTCAGCATACCAATCTTAACAGAAAACATAAAAGCCCTAAAAAACTGCACATAAAATATAATTAAAAAAAACGAAATTCACTTATCACTTAGAGCAGTGGTTCCCAAACTTTTCAGCCTGACCAACAGATGTTACTTCGTATTTTTACGTTATTTAGAAATTTTCATTACATTTGGAAAGTTTTAATTTATATATAAATACATAAATCTCTTTTTAAATTTTAGATTTTACTTTTTTTATGATTATGCGGCACACTTTGACTTCCATATAATGCAACGGCATCTGCCTCTTTTTTATGGCATTTTTGTTTTTTACATTGTCGCTACGTCTATCGCGTTAGTGGCATTTTTACCATCATTTCTACACCCATCACGTCTCAGAGAAGGTTAAACCAACATCAAACCCAACGTTTGGAGCTTGTAAACTCCACACGCCTCTCGTGCAGCACCAGCTGTCTGATGCTGCAGCAGCGTCAATCTTCCCGGCTGGATGAGTGAATTTCTTCCTCAGAGTCAATATTCTGCTTCATAATCAGAGTCAGTCATGACCAGACAAAGTGATCAGTCAACAAAGACCAGACCTGCCGGCAATTATATGTTTTATCTAATATTTACGCTCTTCATGTTGCGCGTATCTCCTCCTCTCCCCGACTGGGAGCCTCATAGCGGGAGGCGATTTTCAAGCTCTAAAAACTCCCAAACGTTGCTCAGCCTGAAGGTTACACATCTCCACTATCTTCTTGTGAAATGTAGTAACTTCATGAGGGATCATATTTGTAGAGGAGACTTGTTAAAGTCAGCAATGAGGCTTTGGTGCTTTTAACGAGTAAGTCCCAACACTGACAACAATGTACTGAATCTATAACCAACATGCATAAACAGACAGATCGGTCCCGCCTACTTACACTGTTGGTCTTTTTTAAATACGCAGTAATCGTTGCTTGCCTTTTTCGCTTCATCCTGCATCCTAGCAGCAACTACTTTGGCGCAGGAGTTGGTGTCAGGTTGGTGTTTGTTTACGTCATGCTGCATTCAATGTAATTGGAAAAAGGAGCTTCAAGCGCTTAACCTCTGATTTTGTTTTCTTTCTGGCCTTAGTTGGGGGGGGGACCGGGGTCGATCTGAATCTGGGGGGGACAGATCCCCCCGTCCTCCACCCCATCTGCGCGCCTGGATTGACGGGAACAGGAGAGTCTGACGCCAAAACGAGGCTTTTAAAACAATCCTTTCTCTTTGAGGAAGATGAGCTGGGTCATGAGCTGACAAAAAAAAAGTGTTACTGGCGCGGCTTTATTTTATATTCAGCTTTCTTTTGGTTAATGGTCTGCTTAGTGACGTTTGCTTTCGGGAGGTGCGCTCATGATGCAGTGTGTCATGCTGGAGCGAGACGTCGTATAGTCTGGCTCACAGAGATCTTGCGCCATACAGTGTGACACCTTTCGGGAGTTCTCAAAGTGTGACTTGAACAATCCTGAGCGACGGCCGAAAATCGCACAGTGTGTGCCGGGCTTAAGAAGCTTTTGTAGGCACGTTTTGTAGGAGCAGGCATGGGCAGAGTTTCACTGAAACAAACACTTTTATTTCCTGGTATAACTTCAGGCTGATGAAAATAACTCGTATTTAAGGTAAATGGCATCTCAATAGTGTCAACGGTAAAATGTTACCATATACTATGCCTACCTATGTTCTCAAAGGTAGCATGA